CAGAATTCGGATCTTCAGTAGATAATTCATCTATTAATTTTTTTAGATTTGGAGGCTCTTTTTTTGCACTTTCATCATGTAATCTTTTTTTAGATCTAGGCTCTTTATTTTGGTAAGGTCTACATAATTTGGATATGTTGTTGGATCATATGATAAGGTAGGGTTAAAAATAAGAGATGTATATGGGGTTACTGTATTTGGGTTTTGACTAGATGTCATTTGTGGTGAAATTTGCATTAGGTCCAAGGTACTTTGCTCAGAAGTGTCAGAATGCACATAATCAATAGATTCAATTTCCATTGCACACTTTGGGCATTGCAGAAGATCTTTTATATAATCCTCAAGACAGCTATGATGAAATATGTGACCACAGATGAGTGCTGTAAATGGTTTTTTAAGTTCGTACAAAAAAAGCTCTTCTTTAGACCTTGAGCATGGATCTAGTTCTGGAACTTCAACGCCTTTTGCAATAATATCTGGGGAGCCATTCTTAAGAATATTCAATGTGAGAGTTTTGAGATATGAAATATTTTGGGGGTTCGGGTTAGTAGACATATTCAAAGATAAAGTTTTGCAGGATTGAAAGAATTAGTATACGTTATAGACAGATAAGTATTTGCAATTAATCATACACTTAGCTCGTTTTTATAATAAATACTTTTACAACTAAAAAATTTAATTTGCAGATTTCATAAACTAATTTCAGATTTGGCGATCGGGTTCATTCACGAATTATTTAGTATAGGGGATTGCTCGATTTTTGCTAGCAATCATGGATAAAAAATTATACTTAAGGGTAGATCTGAAGGGTCATAACTCTGCAATAAGTGCGATTAGTGAGTTGGTTAGTATATATAACTTTACTAAAAATATCTAATAGGTCCGATTATTTCTAAATAGATTTATTGCAAAGCAGGCCCAAAGGGATGAAGTTGGGTTATAGTGAACTAATCTAGATACTCCCATATAAGTCATAGATATCCTCAATTTCAGAAGTATTCTCA